TCAGTGGCCCCGTCGCTGCCCACTCTGGCCCCGCATTCTGTGCCCTTCGTGGCCCCCGCTCGCAGTTGCCCGTCGTGGCCCAATACGCATGCCCTTCGTAGCCCCGCTGTCGCCCTTCGTGGCCCTCTCTCTCCCCTTCGTGGCCCCTTTGCTGCCCTCAGTGGCCGCTGTCGCCCTTTATGGCCCCATATACGAGTGCCCTTCGTGGCCCCCGCTCGTTCGCGCCCGTCGTGGCCCCATATGCATGCCCTTCGTGGCCCCGCTGTCGCCTTTTTGTGGTTCCCTCGCTGCCCCTCGTGGCCCTGTTTCTGCCCTCAGCGGCCCCGTCGCTGCCCTCTGTGGCCCCGGATGGAATTCCCTTCGTGGCCCCCGCTCGCTCGCGCCCTTCGTGGTCCCATACGCATGCGTTTCGTCGCCCCGCTGTCGTCCTTCGTGGCCCTGCCCTTCGTGGCCCACTTTCTGCGCTCAGTGGCCCCGCTGTCGCCCTTTCTGGCCCCATATATGTATGCCCTTCGTGGCCCCCGCTCGTTCGCGCCCGTCGTGGCCCCATATGCATGCCCTTCGTGGCCCCGCTGTCGCTCTTCGTGGCCTCCTCTCTGCCCTTCGTGGCTCCGTTTCTGCCCTCAGCGGCTCCGTCGCTGCCCTCTGCGGCCCCCTATATGTATGCCCTTCGGGGCCCCCGCTCGTTCGCGCCCGTCGTGGCCCCATCTGCATGCCCTTCGTGGCCCCGCTGTCGCTCTTCGTGGCCCCCTCTCTGCCCTTCGTGGCTCCGTTTCTGCCCTCAGCGGCTCCGTCGCTGCCCTCTGCGGCCCCCTAGATGTATGCCCTTCGGGGCCCCCGCTCGTTCGCGCCCGTCGTGGCCCGTGCCAACAACGGTGTGACATTTTGTGTTCTGGTCAACAGCGACAGCGCAAATCATCGTCCTCCCTCTTTCTTGCCCCGCCCTTCCCTGCCTCCGATCCCTTCGTCCTCATTTTCCCCCGTTATATGTTACCCTACGTTTTCAAGGGCTTCACCAACCACACGTGGCAGGGAACGAACATACCCCCCAAAAGGGGGTATGATCGAAGATGAAGAGGGCGGGTATCCAGGGTTTGGGATATGCATACTGAATGGCATGCGCGCAGATAAGAGCGATTGTTGTTGTTGTTATTGTTGTTGTGTTGTGTTGTGTTGTTGTTGTTGTTGTTGCAGCTGCTGTTGCTATGGTTGTTGTTGTTGCTGTTATTGTCGTTGTTGTTATTGTTGTTGTAGTTGTTGTTGGTATTGTTGTGGTTGTGGTTGTGGTTGTGGTTGTGGTTGTGGTTGTGGTTGTGGTTGTTGTTGTAGTAGTAGTAGTAGTTGTTGTTGTTGTTGTTGTTGCTGTTGTTGTTGTTGAATATTATTACTTCTAAAGAATAATTATTGTTGGGCCCCCTGGTGCACGCCCCCCCCGCCGCGCCTAGGCCGCAGCCACGTTTTCATCATTTTCGTGAGGAAGCCTCAGGTAAAATCAGGTAAAACGATGTCATCCAGATCCGGTTGTTTTGTTGTAATCCGCTTTCCCTTGCAAAAAAAACAATAGAAAATTACATTTCTTGTTCTGATATAATCAAATTTCAAGAATCCCTTGCAAAAATATAAGGTAAAGTGGACATTCGCGCGCGCAAGACGAAATCCTTCCAAAACCTTAGTTTTCGTAGCGATTTTAACATAAAAACATCAAAAAAAAAACCAATGGTTTAAAAAAAAATGACAAAATTTCATCCCGCGCGCTCTTGCGGATTCGTAGGAAACCCAACACTTTTTAAACATTTCTGTCAAACGGGCTTTTGCGAGCAACTTTTTCGAACTTCTGCAACAACGGTTGCGCGCACCCCGCCAAGGGCCATCACTCCCTGTCAAAATAATACCTATTGCGGGCACTTCGTTTTTTCATTCGTCGTGCGCTATGCGCACGCCGGTCGTCGTCGGCCGCGGGCTCCTGAATAGTAGGGCCCCGGTCCGGCCGCAATGCCACCGAAAGTGAAAGTGTCCGAACGGTCCATCAGGGCGGGAAGATTGGGTAGTATCTACTGTAGTGGAGGTGGCGATAGTAGTATCGTTTGGAAATTCTGGTAGAGCTTGAACCCGGGCCCCCCCACTCACAAAATGGGGGTAGTGCCCGCCTCCTATGAAAACCCCTGGCACTGGTGAGATAACTGAGGAGATAACGGAGTGTCCCCACTTGCTAGTATTTTTGTTGTTAGTTGTTGTTGTTGTTTTGCTTTTTTCTTTGTGGATGTTGTTTGTTTGAAATGTTTAATTACTTAAAACAGTTTTCTTATAGTTTGACCCCTTGAAGGCGCCCTGGCGCTCTCGCCGAGGCGCTGGCTACATGTTACATGTTCATTGAAAATGAGGCTCACGCTCGAGCGGTTTGGGGGAGCTCCAAAAACGGCCCCCGAACAACAACAACGCTCCCGCTTGAGACTTCCTCCTTTTTTACTCAGGGCTGGTGTTCTTGCTCGCCGCCGAAAGCCGCCGTCCTAACAAAACCAGCGCTCCGGCTCGAGATTTCCTCCCGTTTTATTTTGGACTGGCGCGCTAGTCTCTCTCTCATCGGCGCCGCCCCCAGCAAAAACAACGCTCCCGCTCGAGGCGTCCTCCCTTTCTTACTCGAGGCGGTGCTCCTCCTCGCCGCCGAAAACCGCCGCCCCGACAAAACCAGCGCTCCCGCCCGAGACTTCCTTCCGTTTTACGCTGGACTGGCGCCCAACCCTTTTTTGAATTGGCGCCGCTCCCACCAAGAACAACGCTGCCGCTCGAGGCTTCCTCCTTTTATCCTGAAGACGGTGCTGCTCCTCGCCGCCGACAACCCGCGTCCCGACAAAACCACGGCTCCCGGTCGATGCTTCTTTCTTTCTTTCTTACTCAAGGCGGTGTTCCTCCTCGCCGCCGAAAACCGCCGCCCCGACAAAGCCAGCGCTCCCGCCCGAGACTTCATTCCGTTTTACACTGGACTGGCGCCGTACTCTTTTTTGAATTGGCGCCGCTCCCAGCAAGAACAACGCTCCCGCTCGAGATTTCCTTTCTTTTTCCTCGGGACGGTGCTGTTCCTCGCCGCCGACAGCCCCCGTCCCGACAAAACCACGGCTCCCGCTCGATGCTTCCTCCTTTCTTACTCAAGGCGGTGTTCCTCCCCGCCGCCGAAAGCCGCCGTCCCAAGAAAACCAGCGTTCCCGCTCGAGATTTCGTTTTGTTTTACGCTGGACTAGCGCCCTACTCTCTTCAGCATTGGCGCCGCTCCCAGCAACAACAGCAGCCCTGCTCGAGACTTCCTCCCTTTATATTCAGGGCCAGGTCCTTGCCTCACCGCCGACAGCCCCCATCCTCACCAAGGCAATCCTGTCGTCCGATACTTCCTTGTGCTTTACCCTTCGCTGGGGTTCCACTGGCGGTCTCGCATCGGCGCAGCAAGGCGTGGGCATGTGTTTTCGTGGCGGGATATGTTGAAATTCCTCAGAGGAGGTGTTTGCAAGACCTCATGGGGCGGGAGATCTGAGAATGGGAATAACGGACCCCGCTATAGAACAAGAGTCCCCCATGATGTGGATGGTTATCATGATGGTCGCATGCTTCGTGTGGAAACATCGTGCATGAGGGTAACATGATTATTGTTGTTGATGATGAGGATTGTGATGATCATGATGATGTTGTTGTTGTTGTGGTTGTGGTTGTGGTTGTGGTTGTGGATGTGGTTGTGGTTGTTGTTGTTGTTGCTGCTGCTGCTGTTGTTGTTGTTGTTGTTGTTGTTGTTGAACTCTCGTTCTTGAAGAATAATTATTGTTGATCCCCCCCACCGGTGCACATTGATTTTTTTCGATTGAAGTGCCACCCCCGGGGCTCGCACCTTGTTTTTTCTCAAGGAAAATCTTCCTGCTCAAACTGTGCCCCTGCCCCCCGGGCTACAACAACAACGGCTCCCGCCTGAGACTTCCTCGATTTTTACTCAGGACCCCCGCTCCCGCCTGAGACTTCCGCGCAATTTACTCAGGAAAGGCGCTCCCGTTTGAGACTTCCTCGCAATGTAATCAAGACCCCCGCTCCCGCCTGAGACTTCCGTGCAATTTACGTGGGAACGGCGCTCCCGCCTGAGACTTCTTCGAATTTTACTCAGGACCCCCGCTCCTGCCTGACATTTCCGCGCAATTGACTCAGGAACGGCGCTCCCGCCTGAGACTTCCTCGCAATTTAGTGAGGACCCCCGCTCCCGCCTGAGACTTCCGTGCAATTTGCTCAGGAACGGCGCTCCCGCTTGAGACTTCCTCGCAACTTAGTCAGGGCCCCCGCTTCCGCCTGAGATTTCCTCACAATGTACTCAGGACTGCGCTCTCGCGTGCGACGTCCTCACAAATTATTCTGGAATTGCGTTTCGGCGCTCAGGAACCACGCGCGCGCCAAGGACGCCTTCACAACGTGGTATCTTCCCTCTTCCTTCGTCCTTCCCCCTCCCCTTCCTCCCTACTCTCCCTCGTTCTTCCCCTCCTCCTCTTGCAGGGCCCGCGCCAATTCCAATGGCGGGCAGAGAGATGTACGCCCCCGAAGGATTGTCCGCCCGTTCCGGTTTGCCCGTACGTCTAAGCCCGCCGGCCCCAGCAAAGAGAAATAATCCCCCCGAAAGGGGTGTGATCGAAGACGAAGAGGGCGGGTATCGAGGGTGTAGGGTATACGTGTTGAATGACTCGCGGGCAAGTAAGAGCGTACAGCCTTAAAATGGTTGTTGTTGTTGTTGTTGTTGTTGTTGTTGTTGTTGTTGTTGTTGTTGTTGTTGTTGTTGTTGTTGTTTTCTATTTGCGGTCCCCAGGACGTCCAGGCATTTCTATCAGGCTTGTGATTTGTTTTCACCCCTCGTTGTTTTTTGACGGCGCCGCGGCTCCGCGAGGGCTCCCAGAGGCCGAAAGCAGCAGCTCGAGACGCGGGAGGTCCAGGTTGGGCCCGGCCAGGGGCGGTGGACATGCGCTGCTCTCGCCGCCCTAGAGGTCCCGCCGCGCCAGCCGCGCCTGGTTGCTCACGGCCGCCGGGGGCCTGCTTCCCTCGCCTGACGCGGAGGATCGGGGGCGAGGAGAGTTGCGAATATCCCAGGAAAGAGCAATCTGTGTACTCAATAAGTTCGTAATAAAAGGGAGGAGGTCAAAGCCCACCCAGACGAGCAGTTTTAGCCCCCCCCCCAGACCAGACGTGACAGGGCGGCCTTTTGCCCAGACTCCATTGGATTCATCCAGGGCAGCTCAAATCAGGCCCCCTCCCAAGTCAGACCACCACCCCTTTGTTGTGAAATCCGGAGTATCCAGGGTCGTCAATGGCCCATGCCTTCGGCGAGGCTCCCGGGCGACTACGTGCAATGCCCGCCACCGGGCTGTTCGCCCCTATCGCCGCCGAGAGGAGGAGCACCGCCGCCTCCGCGCCCGCGCCGCGGGGCCGCCACTCGGCCGCCAGCCGAGCGCCTCGCCGCCGCCGCCGCAGCTGTCGGCGTCCCCGCGGGTGCTCGCTGGCAGCGGGTGCTTCGGCGTGGCCGGCGATCAGAGGAGGAAGAAGCGACCCTGAGACCTGGGCGTTGCAGTTGTCACGCTGGGCGTTTTCGGGGCCCTGGGACCCTCACAGATCGATCCCGCCTGAGAGATGCCGCAGAAAGTCTGAGGATCTTGCAAGTGGTGCGTAACGTCGAATCTGAGGCGGTACCAACACCGCTACCCTTCTCTCGTTGCCACGGCTGGATTTGCCTTGAAATTCTGGTCAGAACGCACCCCTGGAGAGGTCCGTGGAATAGCGGTGTCCCCTAAGATCCGACGTCGCGAAAAAATGCACCATCGTGGAAAATCACGATCCGAGCTCTAGACCCAATCTTTCTGCGGCACCTCTCGGGCGGGATCGATCGGTGAGGGAGGGTCCTGGGGCCCGAAACCATGCGAAAACGTTTGGTGTGAAAAAATTGCAACGCCTAGGTCTCAGATCGCCCTGGGGGGCGGGCGAGGACCACGACAGAGTTCTCCGCCGCGCCCCGACGAGGCCCGACGAGGACAACGTGGTGCCCCCCAAGCCCCAACGACGCAGATCGCAAACCACACCCCAGTGCAACTAGCCATGATTACCCTCTGTAGTCGCCGATCAGGGTCGGTATCCTCTCATCCCCCCAGGCGAGCCGCAGCCAGTGGTGCGGCTGTCATGCGCCAGCTGCGGCGAGGCCCTGAGCGAGCGGGGCCTCTGTGTGCAGCTGGTGCTCGACCCAGACACGAAGCTGTTCTCCACGGACACGCGGCCTGGCGGCATCGTGGAGCAGGGGCCTGTCGGCGTGGTGCCCGGCCAGTGCTTGTGCCGGATCCAGGACTTCGCCTGCGGCTGCGGCTTGCGGGTGGGCTACCACCTGGCCCAGCCCTGCAAGGCTCCAGGCCTCCCAAGTTTGGTCCGAGGATGTGCGGTCGGGTCGACTGTACCTAAGAGTGACTCTTCGCCGGAGTGGTCTTGAGTGCGGGTGCACGCGGGGTCCCCAGATGGCGGACTACGATGCGAGAGCAGCGGCTGGCGCGCTGGGATTCGGCTGCCACGCGCCCTCGGGAAGTCGTGCACAAAAGGTCACTCTTGCCCAGGTCACCCTCGCGTGTAGCCAATCGGAGGATCACGCCGCATCGCCGATGCATCAGTAACGCGCCTCAATTTGGAGACCGATCTTTTCCGCGTCGACGTCGTCGATGCACCGCCGACGTCGCCGATGCAGCGTCGGTGCAGCGGCGACGCGGCGCGATCCTCCGACCCCATCCGCTCGGACCCCACCTGCGAGGCTCCCTGAGATCCGACGGCGCGAACAGACATAAACCATCGTAAAGAAATACGACCAGAGCCCTGAAGCTCATCTTTCTGCTCCTTTTCTCGAGCGGGGTCGATCTGTGAGTCCCAGGGCCTGAAACGGGGCGCAAACGCCCTGCCCGAAATTATCGAGGCGCCTGGATCTCAGGGCCTCGAAAAGGCGTGCGGGCCGCGCCAGGACGCGCACAGCCACCGCTGGCTCTCCGCAGACGGCATCTACACACACCACCACCGCTCCTGGCGAAGGCCATCCTGGGCTCCACGATGGTGCATACGCCCTCCTGGCCTCGGCCAGGAGGCGTACGCACCGTGCCAGGGCCCAGGAAGGCCCTGGCCAGACACGGTGGCGGTGCGCGCAGATGCCTCCTGCGCAGGTTCTTCAGCGCCCGCTGCGTCCGCGCGGAGCCCCTGCGGAGCCCCGCCAGGCAGCCGCTGACGTGGCCCGCGCGCCACCCCAGCGTTCTCGCCGACTCCGGCGACGAGAACCAGCCGCCCGCCGGCGCCGTGCCGGCCCTGCCCGCGCTGCGCGCGCCCGGGCTCGAGGGCAAGGCCCAGGGGGCAAGGAACGGCACATGTCGGCGGCGAGCGAGGGGGGGGAAGTGAGAAGGAGGAGGCCTTCTCAGAAGGCGGCGGGGCTTCCCAGAAGCCCTCTGGCCTTCCGTGAAGTTTTCCGTGCCTTCGGGGGAGATTTGGGACACTTCTCAGAAGGCCGGGGGACTTCCGAGTCGAGGTCAGCAACATATGTACACGTACGCGGTTAGTTTCCCCTGGAGTGCGTATCAACGCGGACGTTCGTGCAGGCAAGACCGCGGAGGGCGTACATGTACATATGTCGTTGCTCGCCCAAGGCCTTTTCCGTTTCTTTCCCCCCTGGCTCGCCGCCGACGGAGGACAAGGAGCACCATAGCCTCGAGGTCCTGGCGCCTCGATTTGCTCGAGTCGGGCGTTCTTGCCCGGCTGCGGGCCCCCAGGGCCCTCACAGATCGATCCCGTTTGGAAAATAGCGCAGGAAGATGGGGTCGAGGGCTCCAGCCGTGTTTTTTTTTGTTTTTTTTTTTTGTTTGAGACGTCGGGTCTCAGGGTAAGGCGAGACGTGCCCGCGTCGTGCACAAGATCGCGACAGAAGTGTTGTGGCCATTCTCAGCCTCTGAGGGCCCTCGCCTGTCCTCGGGACGTTCAGGAAGCGACTTGGAATGAAACGCTGGCTCTGGGGAAAGGGTCTGTATTTTTGGGGACTGTGTGTTGTTGAGATGACCAAAGATCGGCCATGCGCAGAGGAGGGTAGGGGGTATGGGGAAGGCTTCTCAGAAGCCCCCCTGCTTTTTAGAAGGCGTGGGCCTTATCTACAGATGTAGGGCCGGCGCCTTTCAAGAAGCAGCCTCCTTGAAGACTTCCCCCTCCCCCTACCCCCCTTTTGCGCGCCGCCAAAGATTGGTCCCGTGTCTGGGTGCGGACTTGTTGGATCGGCGCTGGGGCCCCCCTGGCGGCGCCCTCTCGGCGCCGCCCCCCGGCGGCGCCTCCGCGCGCTGAGGAGGGGGGCTCAGCGCCGATCCAAAAAGGCCGTGCGGACCTCCAAAAGTATAAGCTTGTGCAGTTTGTTGTCGCTCTGTTCCAGGTGTGTCGATGGTGGTATGTAGCGAGTATGGGATCGACTACAACATTGATTTACGCCAGAGATGGAATTGTCGTCGAATCTGCAACAAATGCGTAGTATTTATGCTCTGCCGATCTACGGAACATTCTACGTATCTTTCGACGGAAATAGATTTTTGGGTATGATGATTCTGCAGTCTATCCCCTACTAGAATGTAAAGATGCTCTCTGCGCGATTCCCGCCTCCCGCCTCCCGCTGGTCGATCCCGCCTCCCCCGTTCTTCCTCGTCCTCGGCTCCTCCAGTCCTCGCCTCCCCCGCTCCTCGCTCCTCCCCCGCTTCCGAAAGTTAAGGCTTGTGCAGTGTTTCTGGTGCCTCTGAAGGCGTTCGGGGGAGCCTCCTTCTGGCCGCTGGCAGAGGTCGGAGGGCGCCAACCATACACCTACACCTGTCCTGGCCAGGCCAATCCTGGGCCCAGGCTCGGTGTCTACGCCCTCGTGCCTTGGCCAGGAGGGCGTATAATACACAGACTTTGGCCGCATGACTGGCCGGTCCAGGATCGGTGTACGGTCTGCGCCGCGTTGACGCGGCGGCGACCCCAGCGCGGGCTTTCAAGTTCAAAGGTCGCTAGTGGTCCAGAATCGGCCGATGAGTGAAATCGGAGAACCGCGACCGTTCAAGGTTGACCGATCCACGCGGCGTCAGAAACCAACGCCCGCGACATCGCGACGCGAACCAGCCGGTTAGGTGTACGGTTGGCGCCCTCTGGAGAGGCCAACGGCCGCCGCGGCCCCGAGGAGCCCCTGGAGATCGGGGGCCCGGCCATCAAGGCTCGAGGGGGGCGCCAGGTGCGCGCCACAGCACTCGGGGGCAACGCCAGGGGGGGGGGACCATGAGAAGAATGCGACGGAAGGTTCTTCGCTATGTTCGCCATCGGGGGCCCTCGCTGGGCCGCGGGACCGTCAAACAACCACCGAGGATGAAGAACAGGCTCCTGGGACCGCGTGATGGACAACAACAAGACGTCGCACGTCTGGGGACGCACCGTCCGAGGAAGTAAAACACGGCATAGCCATACACTTTCGGAGCTTCGCGCGGAGTTCTTTCCTCGGTGGTGGGCCCACGTCACTGGCGCGCGGGGCCCGCCAGGGCGCGGCGCTGGAGGCGCCGCCAGGGAGGCCCGGCGTCGATCCAAGAAGTCCGCGCAGCGCTCCGACAGGTCGTGCTCAATTGTGCTCACCACGCACCAAACCACCCCAGCCCAGCCCGAAGGCTCAGATTTGCCTTCGATTTCCAGTGGGGGGGGGGTCGGGAAACATCGAACAAACACATGTGGAACCCTGACCCCCCCCCCCCCAACCCGAAATTCGGGTCTTCGGGTTGGGTTGGGGTGGTCTGGTAGGTAGTCATATGCCGAGTGCTTTCTTTCCTTTGCAGGCGCCCACTCATCCCCGATAAGGCCCAGCAGTCCCGTCCCGCCCAGGAGCTTGCGGACTTGCCAATGAGAGCTTAGCTGCTGCCAGTCTGTCGTGCTTAACTATTCTCACCACCCACCAAACCACCCCAACCCAACCCGAAGGCTCAGATTTACCCACGATTTCCAGTGGGGGGGGGGGTCGGGAAACATCGACAAAAACGCATGTGGAACCCTTACCCCCCCCCCAACCCGAAATTCGGGTCTTCGGTTTGGGTTGGGGTGGTCTGGTAGGTAATTAGTCATATGCCGAGTGCTTTCTTTCCTCTGCAAGCACCCACTCATCCCCGATGAGGCCCAGCAGTCCTGTCCCGCCCGGGAGCTCGCGGATTCGCCACTGAGAGCTTGGCTGCTGCCAGTCTGTCGGCGACGTACCGCCAGTTCCGGCTCACTACTGCCCCCCTGAGCTGGTCCCTCCCTCGGCAACACCCCAACATACTTATACTATATGTGCGTCGCCCCCCCAGGGGCGACGCGCGCACCGAGAAATCTTATAGTATATGCGTCGTGGCGGGCGCTTTCTGGCCACACCGCTCGGGAAACGATATACTACAAGATGGGTATACTATATGTTCGGGTCGGACGCGCGCCTCCAAGGAGGACATATAGTATTAGTATGTCCATGTGCGTCCCACACCAGGGCACGGGCGACGTGCGCACGGGTCCCGGGTCCAGGACTGGCCCTGGCTGGGGATCTTGTGGGCGCGCACGAGGGGGCAGCGCGAGGGGGGCGGCCTTCAAGCAGGCGGGGGGGGGCTTCCAGGGAGTCGGGGGCCGTGTTAGAAGCTCTCCTGGCCGCTAACGAGCCTCCTGAGAGAAGCCTCCGGGCCCTTCTACGAAGGCCCCTGCCTTCTGAGAAGCGCGCCGCCTTCTTAGAAGGCCCCCCCCCCTCGCGCCACCCCCTGGTGCGCGCCGCCAGGGATCGGCGTCGTCACCTTGATTTTTTCGACTTTTTGAACAAGTTGCAGCGTCGTGCAAAATCACGGCTGAAGCCCTATACGCCCATCTTTACCCGGAACTTTTCGAGCGGATCGATCTGTGAGGGTCCCAGGGCTCGAAATTGGGCGAAGCCACCCAGCGTGAATAAAATTACAACGCCCGGATCTCAGGGTGGAGAGCTCGACATCCGCCGGCAGGAGTTTTTTTCAATTCGTGCCCCAGACGTCCCGACCGCCTCCCCGCCTCCCCGGGGGTAGCTCTCCGCCCCGGCTTTCGTTTTGGATGGTCCCGAGAACGGCCTCCGTCTGCCGACATGGAGGATCAAGAACGTCGGGCTGGAGCAATTGTTTCTCTCGTTTCCGGCGGGTTTGCTTGCATGGAGGGGAGGGGTCCGAGATCCCATGGAGGAGGAGGAGGAGGAGGAGGAGGAGGAGGAGGAGGAGGAGGAGGAGGAGGAGGAGGAGGAGGGAGGAGGAGGAGGAGGAGGAGGAGGAGGAGGAGGAGGAGGGAGAGGAGGAGGAGGAGGAGAGGAGGAGGAGCAGGAGGAGCCAGAGGAGGACTGCTAGGGTATTTGATAGCGGACTCTGTCTTGGGCGGTGGGTTTCAATCGCTGGAGCTACCCCCTCCTCGGCAGGAGGGGGTCCCTGGGCCTGGCCAGGCCTGGAGGGAGCGGCGGGCCCACCCCGCGCTCCCACCTGGGCCTCCCGAGGCCCCGCTTCCTGGCCAGGGCCCCGACCTGGGTCAGCCAACGTCGCTCTCGGGTCCGCGAGTGCCCTACACTCGGCATCTCCATGGGCCTTCATGGCCTCTCGGATTGCCCTGGGGGGCCCTTCACGCCGGTGAAACAAACCTTTGCTGAGCCTCGACAGGTTCTCCAAGCCTTTAGGGCTTCTTCCCTTGCAGATCGGGACCAGATTTCTGGGATCCATGGTCGCACAGAGCCCACAGCTCGAACAGGCAAAAGGATTTTTTTTTTTTTTTTTTTTTTTTTTTTTTTTTTTGTTTTTTGTTTATTCTTATTTTTTTTCTACAAGCTGAATGGTGTGCGAGGGGTGGGCGCGTTCGCACACCCCTTGTCCTCTGACGGCTGGGGCTACGCGCTCAGCAACCGCGGCCGTGGTCCCTCTCTGCACTTTCGCTGGGGGTCCCTGGACAACCGCTCGCGGCTAATTCCCGAAGCTTGTATCTGGGAGCCACTCGCTCGCACACCGTGCACCACCAGTACTTCTGGGAGGCGCCGCAGGCCTCCGGGGAGTGGGCCGACTCAGCTGCCGAAACCAGGGGTCTTGGAAGCCTCTTTCCATCCCAAGGGGCTCCGTCGGCACGCACCTTATTCTCTGCCTCCGCTGAGGCCGCCAGAGCTCGTCTGGATCGGCGGCGTATCATCTAAGCTGTTACATCAACTCTGTCAGGCCTCTGGCTCCCGTCCCACCACTCCACTCCACGCCAACTCCGCCGCCGCCCCCGCCCACGAGTCTGAGCAGGCATTACCAGAGGCGAAGAGGAGCTTCTCCCGGGTGTCTAGGAGCTCTGAGGCTTCCTCCTGGTGAGACGCAGACCAGACCACGCGAGCGCTGCCGATGGAACGGCCCTGGAAAACTTTGCGGGCCCTGGTCCAGAGGTCCTCGTCTCGCGCTTTGTGGTCAGTCACAAAATTAAAGCTCCCGGCGCCTCTAGAGCAAGACAGAATACTAACACTTCGGCTCGGGGGAGCGTCTGGATTTCTCCCAGAAGTGGGGCTCCACGGGCCTCCCCAAGAACCCAAGCGCCTTCGGGGTCCAAGGTGAGGCCAACTATCGCGGCTCCACATCGCCTCCTCCAGGGGTCATCCGAGAATCGCCCCCCGAGCCATCACCAAAAATATGCACACGCTCGGCCTCGGTGCAGTTGGCGAAACCACACGGATGAAACTGCAAGTTGCGCAAGCCAATGTGCTGCTCATCGAACGTGGGGACCGTCTGGATGGTCGGCGGCAGGCCTCTCAGCCAGAACGCGGGGTCCGTCGCGTGCTGCACCGCTGCCTGCATCACCAGGCACTCTGACTTTCGAAGTCCTCGTGCCCCGGGTTCTTCTCGAACTCCCACATGCGGTGGTACAGGGTGTTCTCCTTGAGCTCGCATCTCGGGCACCGTGTGGAACTCACAATGCATCCAGCTCGCTGCCGTCTGGTCCTGGTTCACTGTTCCCCAGTAGTGAACAGTAGATTGAGGGCCGCCAAGCCCGCCGCTTCCTGCTCGTGAGACTTCTTCTGCTCCTTTCTTATCCTCCATACGTCAGTGCCTTCCGGAATGCCGTCGCCGTCCTCGTGCTTGGCAGATGGCCGTGCGCTCCCAGTGCTGAGTGTAGTGCTCGTCCTTGCTGCTGGGCATGAGCCACGCATGTAGCTGCCCATCTGGTAATGGCCTCTCCCATTCCGTCGCATTGATGGGTTGCCAGCCTATGTCCATCAACGCTGCCTGGAGTGTGGCGATGGGACCCTTGACACACGCCCACCTTCTTCGACCAGCTCCCAGCAGCTGCTGTCTGATTTTCTGCCAGGCCAGCTTCACCCTCTCGTGCGTTCTGCTGCCACATCGCCAATCATTCCGCTACCACTCTCTTGCGCAGCTCCAGGCCTGGCTCCTTCTCCCACATCTCGATACCGAGCGTGGTGGTGAGGCGCCCCCCCCCCCCCCCCCTGCGAGCCAGCAGCCGCCACCTGTCCTGCTTGTCGCCGTAGCCGCGTCAGCTCCGAAGGTGCCAGCCCGAACGCTCGGCGTCCGTAGCTCGCCTGTGGGAGGGCACCCGTCGCCCACAGTCCTTTGGCTTCTTTGGCCAGAATCGTCGATCTTAATCCCTTGATCCTGCCGAACCGCTTCCTGGCCTTTTGGATACGTTGCTTGAGCGTGCGCACGACCCTCTTCTTCCCTGCACCTGCGTCAATGCCGAGGTGCTTGCTGTGGTGTATTCCCTTGGCAGGGATTCCACAGGTGCGTAGCGTCTTTGCCGTTTCCTTCACCATCACCTTCGATGTACCAATGATCACTGTTTTGTCTGAGATCTTCAGCCGCTGCTGCTTAAGACCTCTGGCCAGCTCCATCGCCACTTCCGTCATCTGCCCTGCAGTGTCCTTCTCCGGTCCCTCGGATCTCGCCACTGTGTCGTCGACGAAGGTCCATAGCCCCGATCTTGGAGGAGGAGACAGGATCGGGTGGCAGGCGTCTTGGATCCAGCAAAACCTCGGGTCGGACTAGGGCGCGGGGGGGGGCGTTGCGAGGCCCGAAGGGAAATCTGGACTTCACGCAAGTCGGGACTCACTTCCACGCCTTTTCGGCCCAGTGCTGTTCGAAGCGGCTGCGAAAGGGGGGGAATACCATGCAAGTGAGCTGCCCAGAAATGCGATGTTTTGATTTTAGTGCGCGGTCCCGGGAAGACCCGACCCTTTCCCCAGGGCCGTTTCTCATCCTGAGTTGAATTTTGACGGTCCCGGGGCCCTGCCAAGGCCCCCGGAGGTCGAAAGCTGACAGGAACTTCCCTCCGTCGTGATTTGTTTCACGCTCCGAGCATCTCTGGGTTGCCACAGCCCAAATACTCACCGCCCACCAAACTACCCCTAACCCAACCCGAAGGCCCCAATTTGCCCTCCACTCGCAGGTGTGTGTGTGTGTGTATCGGCTTGGAGAAACACGTGTGGAATCCGTTCCCCCGCAACCCGAAATTCGGGTCTTCGGGTTAGGTTGGGGTGGCCTGGTAGGTCGTAAAGAGAAAAAGGAGCAAGCACGCTCTTGACAAAAGTCAGCTCGCCGAAGATCCGGGCAGGCCCCGCGCTGGCGCCCCCCCCCCCCAGGAGGGGCAGGCCCGGCTGGCCGAGACCTCGCTGTTGGCCTCGCGCGCGGCCGCCGCCGACGCGGAGGCTCCTGGGCGTAAGGCACCTCCGCGTCCACGGCCTCGCGGGCTGGGGCCCTCTGGGCCGCGACCCCGTGTGGACTCCGAGTCGGCGGCGAGCAAGGGGGGGGGGGAAGTGAGACGGAGGAGGGCTTCTCAGAAGGCGGCGGGATGTCTCGGAAGCCCTCGCGCCTTCTGAGAGGTCTTCCCGTGTTTTCCGGGGAAGGCTTAGAAAGCTTCTCAGAAGGCGGAGGGATTTCCGAGCCTTCTGAGAAGGCCCGCCACTTCTCACTTCCCCCCGGGCGCGCTGCCGACTTGAGGTTCTAGGCCTTCAGGCGGGGTTCGAGCAGGTGGGGTCGGAGGGTCGCGCCGCATCGCTGATGCACCGGCGATGCGGCTTGATGTGGAGCCCGAATTCCCCATGCCGACGGCGTTAGTGCATCGCCGATGTATCGGCGAGGCGGCGCGATCCTCCGAATCCATCTATTCGGACCCCATGTAGGAGGCCCCTAGAGATCCTGGCGTCTCAATTTCTTTGAGCCAGATGTTTTCGCCCAGAATCGGGCCGCGGCTCCCTCACAGGTCAATCTGGCCCGAGAAATGGCGCATGAAGATGCGGTCTAGGGCTCCAGTCGTGTTTTTCCACAACGGCTCATTTTTCCCAACCATCCTGTGGTGTTGGGTCCTCGTTTTGAAGAAACGGTCCCCGCGTTCCTCCTCCTCCTTCTCCTCCTCCTCCTCCTTCTCCTCGCCCTCCTCCCTCCTGCGTTCGCATGCCTCCCCACCACCCATTTCGGCACACCCCTCACACGTTCGTGGCCCCATAGGGAGCTCCACCGAAGGCCCCAGTGGCTGCGTTCGCATGCCTCCCCACCACCCATTTCGGCACACCCCTCACACGCTCGTGGCCCCATAGGGAGCTCCACCGAAGGCCCCAGTGGCTGCGTTCGCATGCCTCCCCACCACCCATTTCGGCACACCCCTCACACGTTTCGTGGCCCCATAGGGAGCTCCACCGAAGGCCCCAGTGGCTGCGTTCGCATGCCTCCCCACCACCCATTTCGGCACACCCCTCACACGTTTCGTGGCCCCATAGGGAGCTCCACCGAAGGCCCCAGTGGCAGGGCGTTCGCATGCCTCCCCACCACCCATTCGTGGCCCCATAGGGGCGAAGGCCCCAGTGGCTGCGTTCGCATGCCTCCCCACCACCCATTTCGGCACACCCCTCACACGTTTCGTGGCCCCATAGGGAGCTCCACCGAAGGCCCCAGTGGCAGGGTCCGCATGCCTCCCCACCACCCATTTCGGCACACCCTTCACACGTTTCGTGGCCCCATAGGGAGCTCCACCGAAGGCCCCAGTGGCGCGGTGCCTATGAGAAGAGGGGCCTAGTTTGCGTGCCCCCTCCTTCGTCTCATATCCGTGCGGTATTCGCAGCTGCATATGGTTGGGTCCTTCGCCAGGCTAATTTTCGAGACGTCTGATCTCAGGGGATACGGGGCGGTTTTCCGCGGAGGCCCACTCGGAACATAGCGGGGGGGTGACCCAAGAGGCCACCCTCACTGGAAAGCCGTCCGTTTTTGTGTATGGTTTTGCGTGCTCGGCTTTTTGGCCACTAAGCCCCGCCCAAGTTCGCCCAAGATGCCTCCAAGACGGCCCAAGATGGCCCCAAGGACGGCCGAAACGACCCACCATGCGGCCCAAGATGGCCCCGCTGGGACCCCCAGGAAAGCTTCAAGAGGCTGAAGCTGTTGTTTTCCATTAAGTGTGAAGACGGTGTTCGCGTTGTCCCTTTTTCTGGTTTCCGACAAAGATGACCAGATGGCCCCACGATGGCTCAAGAGGCCCCCAAGAGCGTATCCTCGGGATCGCGCCCTGGAGTCCAGACAGTGGCCGTTGATAGTTCCGTCCGCCGCTGGCGAGCAGCTCGCACGGGACCGGCGGTTTCACCCATCCCGCTGCCTCGCCTCGCCAGTCTGGGCCACGCCTGGGCTCAGAGGCGACGTGTCCGGCGCACGTCCAATCAGCCAGAGACCAGGCCCTCAGTGTCCCGGCCACGCCCGTCCAGGTCGCCCTGAAAGCGGCGTGCCGTGCCTGCCGCTGCTGGTCAAGATCGCCCCGCAAGGCCCTAAGCACCAGTTGTGAGTGACTCATTTGTGAGAGTCGTCTTCGGTGGCGCTTCTTCTGGGGCCTCGAAACGTGTGAGGGGTGTGCCGAAATGGGGCGGGGGGGACGCATTTGAACCCTCCCACTGTGGCCTTCCGTCGAGCTCCGTATAAGGCCACGAAGCGTCCAAGGGGTGTGCCGAAATGGGGCGGGGGACGCATGTGGACAGTGCCACTGGGGCCTTCGGTGGAGCTCCTTGTGGGGCCACTAGGCGTGTGAGTAGTGTGCGGAAATGGGGCGGGGGGGCGCATGTGGACCTCCTTCGGTGGAGCTCCCTATGTTGCCACGAAGCGTGTGAGTGGTGTGGCGAGATGGGGCGGGGGGACGCATTTGGACTGTGCCACTGGGGCTTTCGGTGGAGCTCTCTATGGGGCCACGAAGCGTGTGAGGGGTGTGCCGAAATGGGGCGGGGGAGACGCATTTGGATTGTGCCGCTGGGGCCTTCGGTGGAGCTCCCTATGGGGCCGTGAAACGTGTGAGGGGTGTGCCGAGATGGGGCGGGGGGACGCGTCTGGACCCTGCCACTGGAGCCTTCGGTGGAGCGCTCTTTGGGGCCACGAAGCGTGTGAGGGGTGTGCCGAAATGGGGCGGGGGGGCGCATGTGGACTGTGCCACTGCGGCCTTTGTTGGAGCTCCCTATGTT